GATATGTGAATAGCTCACATATGAGTTAACACTTGCAGAATATTACGGTTACACCACACACAAATACTGCACTTGGGTGGGGGAAGTTAATTGACAAGGGCGGCGGCTATGTGACCGTTGGATATGCGATGGTGCTGCATTGTAAATGGTGGTTAACAAACGTGCACAAGCTCGCTCGGTCATCAGCTGGCGTGGTACCTCGCCGTGTAGGGTGTGCACCAGCCCAGGGTGTCGGACGTGCTCTACGACAACGAGGTGTATGAAAAGCGTCGTGGCCAGAACGGCACGGGCTTCAGTGAGTCGGGGAAGGTGGACGGAGATGCAGAGGCCAAGCGGGACCCAGGAAAAGTCCCAGAGTGCAACGGGGTATGTACATGTATGTTGAATGTCTTTTTCGCAACGTCCGTAGCCAACCGTGCTAATCGGAGGTGCGGGGGAAGGACAACTAAACATAAAAAGAAGTTATTAAGAAATGAGTTTTCAACATAGATTTAAAAGTCCATCGCTCCAGTGGCTTCCTAATACCGGAAGAGCGTTCCCGATGGCCGCAGAAGCGCATCTGAAAAACGCGCAATGCGGTGACCATCTTTCTTCAATGGCTTTCCAATTAGGAAGCTTCTGCCATACTTAGACATAGCCTGGGGCCATTGTGCATAGAGACACGAATTAAATTAAAATGTCATGGAAGGTTTCTATTCGTTCCGATTGTGGCTCTGGTATCTAAACTGATTTTTTTTACTAACAGATATATTAACATGTGTAATGGAATACTAATTTAACTCGTGGAGTTTTTCACCCCCCCAATAACCTTTAACGTTCTTAGTTCCCAGATCCAACATTTCGGCGATGCAAATTCGCAGCCGTTAAGAGCTGGGTCCATTTAATGCGGATATGTTAACCTGACGAAAGTTTCGAGACAATAAATAAACAAACTGCAATACGTTTAAAGTACGTGAACGTCGTGTACAGGAGGGAGGCGGTGGGCTCAAGAGGAGTGGCTCCTTCAGCCGTCTCCGTGCCTCCATTCGGCGCAGCAGCGAGAAGCTGGTCATGAAGCTCAAGGGCAGCAGCAGCAACAAGGAAGCCGACAGCAAGAACCCTGGGTTGGACATCGCATCCACCAACTCGCCAATGTTATATATTAGTTCACTTTAAAGAATTAACGAGTGTTCTGAAAACGTTAGAAGCTGCAGAATCTCCTCGTATGTATGGGGCATGGGGCGCTGCGGTGGCAAGATGTTAACTACCTTGCCCGGTATATACAGGTCATGGGCTCGATCCCGACACCTGACGCCTGTATATATGGAGTTTGCATGTCTCTCCCCGTGGTTGCGTGGATTTTCCTCCGAGTCCTCCTGCTTTTCCCTCCACATTTAGAAACGTGCTTTTTGAGTATTTGGCTGCTATAAATTTCCACGTGATAAGCCACTTCGTTGAGCTTTCATTTGTGGCCAGGTTGGTTCTGAAAAAGCTATATAGCTCAGTGGGCTTTAGTATGTTGAAATTATTTCACACCATACGCAGCCAACCATGCTTGTTTCGAGTAGGAGGATCAATCTAATGCAATTCATATATTCAAAGGGGGGCAATAAACTGACTTAAAGAACTACAAAAACCATTAGCCTATTGGTGTACGTTAATCGTTTGTGGAGATCAGTGGGAAAACATTTAACATTTAGATCCCTGCCAAACAACCATGGAAGGTTTGGAGAAATGCTTCTCGACCATTGATAGCAAATGCTATTGAACAGGTAGTGTAAAAGACTAAATTAATTTAAATCACCATTGTGCCCAGCGTTTGCTTACATGGATTGTAAAGTCTTCCAATGAGCTAGCGTGGTTTATCTTTAAATGGTTGATTTGTTTTTATAAGACATGCACATAACTTCTCCTTTTACTGAGGGCAATGTACATTTGTACAGCCCCCTGTCAATCCCCTGCTGGTTGTACGTTTTTACTTCTTTCTTACCGTACGTAGCCAACCGCACTAATCGGAGGTGTGTGGTTGAAGGCCTCCACCATGTCATGTCAGCAATCATGTGGGATATTGACCCTACTTTACCACGCAGGTCAGTGTGGATTGGCAAAGGGGTGTGGGGGAAACCCAGGACTGATTCAGATCAGTCACCATTATTATCCATAGCCAGGAATAAAACTCAGGTTTTCGGGTTCAGGGCACAGTTGCGCGAACCACCGAGCCATTGCTGTACCCCCGTGTTTTAATACCATGTCCACGTGGGTTTTTTTTTATTGCAGCATGAAACGTGCCAGCTCTCTGAGTACTCTCAACGTTGGTCCCAAAGCCGAGGATGACGCCTACCAAGTAAGGCCAGCCCTGTCTCTCTCTGACACACTTTGTTTTTGTAGCCATCTGTTCTGGACACCCTTGCCCCCTTAACCTAATCTTCCGTAGTCCTTCGTGACCCTAATCAGTCTTGCACACCACTTACTTTTTGAAGCCTTATTTTGACATTTGTCACTTGCCTAAAAATACTGTAGAGTTTAAAATAGTCTGGTTTGAGATCGGTGTTAAGAAGTGATTCTTGTGTTGTGATCCTTTCCCCCCCCCCCCCCATCTCTCACCCTCTTCCTGGTGCTCTGCAGAAGTCCCTGAACAAAACCCAGGGTCTGAGTGCAAGCCACTCGGACCTGGCCCGGCGAGGTTCCATTGAGAGCACCAGCTAGGAATGTCAGAGCAAACATTAATGCACACACCTACCATTCTCTCCTCCCTCCGATAGATCCATTCACACATCTACACAGCCTTCCATGCCTGTGCCAATTTCATTTGTCCTATATGTTTTACCCATATATTGATATAATCACCCATTGCCTCTGTGTTCCGTGATTTTACGGTCGACTGCCTGTAGAACAAACTTGGAAGCACAGTTTTGTTGGTGGAATTTTGAATTAGAAGTAACGGGCAATTTACACGGTTACTTCATCAGCATATTAGTTGGTTGCAATTTAGAGTTAGAATATCAGCATTAAATGAAGGAGTGAAGTGTGTCTACAAGCCCTTGAGCCTGATCATTAAGATTGCTCGTTTTCATTGAATCGTTCATTTAAAAATGTTGTCTTAATTTTTTTTTTACAATCCCTGGGTAGCGAGAAAACCCACACTCTATACTCAGGATTCAGAGAAAAGTACAAATATATTTGAGATATATCCTGATATAAATGTATATATCTCAGAAAAGGACGTTTATGATTGCCTATTCACAAATGGTAACCTTTTGCAAGACGAGACAGCACCATTACTCATGTTGTGCTCACTATAAATGAGCAAACAGTGGTCATGCACAATTGAGTTCGCAGAACAAAAGTGTGTGATGTCTGTCGGGAGTCGGACACAGCTGGAATTTGCAGCGGAGTGTGTAACACCTAGGAGAGCTGTTGAAGTGGAACAGAATCAAAACGATGAAATAGAGGCAGACTTGGACGACGTGTGGAGTGCTTTCTGAAAACTGAACTTGATCATGAAAAGCAACGTACCGGATGTGCCTAAAGTCGAATGTTTTATTCAGTGTGTATTACCTGCTAAGACGTGTATCAGAAACATGGACATTAACAAAGAAAATGGAACCAACTAAAAAGTGTGCACAGCATGTAGAGGTGCTTGCTTGTAATTACATTGAGAAACACACGGAATATGTATCGGTTAAAGATAACATGCTGACTGTTACAAAAAAAAAGTGGGCTTGGAAAGGACACGTCGCTAGAAGGGATGATGGGCAATGGTCAAGAATGTTTATGGAGGGGCAGTCAAGGGATGGAAAAAGTCTTAGAGAACATCCATCGCGTAAATGGAGCAATAACATTGTTTCGTGTGCTGGGTGGATTATTACATCATAGAATTGTGAGAGAAGGCGATAACCTGGTGAGGACCTCGTCCAGCAGTGGATTGATCATGGCTATTGCTGACATTTGGCTTTGCTCCATATAGAAGTGATTTGTAAACGGACCTGAAGGACTTGGTACAAAGAAGAGATTCATCTTTTTGTTTCGAAGGCCTTTACCGGAAACACTTGACTAACAATCCCAGCTTCTCATAAATTATCATATCTTAGTCAATTGCAATGTAATAATTGCATATAGAGGACCTACTAAGATCATATGACAGGCAACTTGCGGTAGAATATAAAAAGTGTATTGCTGTATATTTACTAGTACTGTACTTTGTAAGGCAAGCATTAGAGCATGCTAGAGTATGCTAGAGTATGCATCATCTTTTCCCTCATTTTCTCAAAGAGAAGTGCTATGATTTTCTAGACTGTTTACAGTTTGCCATTGTAAATATAACATACATGTTTAAATTATTGAAATTTGTAGATAGTTTAAAAAAGTCGGGAGGCATATGAATAAAGAAATACAATTTGTTTAGCTTGTTACTAGTACGGCTCTTACATTTCAAGTGGCTTTTTGCCAAAGTGAAAAATCACCGGAGGCAGGATTACATTTGCCAACCGATAGGTTTAGAGCCTTTGTCTCAACCCCAAATCCAACCCACCGAAGCTGTGTGATTGGATTGGCTTAAGTGCCTGCCAGTGGCCCAAGCTAACTGTGCTGCCCCCTGGCTGCTGTCTGTGTAGACGAGGGCACGTTGCCCCCGCCCTCCCCTTGTGTTTGTTCCGCGTTTTTTGTCCCGTGTTTCAACGCTGAACCATCCATCCAAGTGCGTTCTAGAATGTATCCGCTTTAAGACATGCAATGCAACATTTAAAAAAAACTGAAATCATTTTATCCTCAGCAGATATGAATGCGATTTCAGATTGTCCTGTTGTTGAGCAATGCTTGCACTAAATATGTAAAAGGAAACCATTAGTTTCATTTATGAAGTACTTAAAAAGTCTGTATTTTGTCACCTATGACCTTAAGATTTTAGCCATTTGTTCCTTGTTTTTTGGATGCTATATAGGCGCATGTTATCCTGTGGTGCCAGCCAAGTTCTCTGTCTTGAACGTACCAGTTCCATTGTGTAAACTGATGTAGGTTTGTAGTTTTGAAAGCATTGGGAGTAATATCGCTAGAACGTGGACCAGACATTTCCTTTGGTTACATTGAAACAGTTGAGTTTAGATGGCGATATACAATTAAACGTTTCAAAAACATGTCCCTGTTTTTGCAAGTTATTTACACAAGTACTGTTATACATTCAAGTGAATAGCTTCAAGTTGGGAGCTTCTTAAGGAACTGAAATGTATGAAGAAGCATCCAGCACATGGATCAAAACGTCGACATGAAAACACATTGGAGCACCAAAATATTGGTGAGCTGCAGATGTCCTGCCAAAAGTATAAAATCAGTTCTCAAGAAGAGTACACAGGTTATTAGTGGACTTCCAAATACGTTTATGGATATTTATAACACTTCCACTATTCAAAGATCTCATATGGGTGTGTGATGCGAATAACATTTTAAATTTTTATCAAGAGTGTTTTTATTGTACAAAATAATTTACAGCAGACAACGCTCTATCATGGAGGAGCAATTTATAATTCATCACGCCCGCTTGCTACAAACCCCACGACCCGAATTAGCTTCCCGCTCAAGGCCAATACAAGTGACTTATATGAACCGCTCCAGGGCCTCCCCTTGCTCGACTCGGCCTTAAATGAGTACCTGGGGTCGTCAATAAACATCGGCACTGGGGGATGACAAAGGTGGCTGTACGTGGCATCACCCACCCTCTTAATGTGACGAGCCGCCATTTGGAGGCGCTACTCGCCAACAGCACTTTCCCTTAGTCTTCAGGCTATGCGGGAGACATTTGTTTTTGTGACATCGAGGGACCGTGAGAGATGGCAACAGCTCGGGGGAAGAGTTCTTCACCCAGCAGTGGATGTAATGCACGTTTTAAACACTTGTCATTGGCGCTGCTGGCGTAGTCCCCCAGCGCTGTGCACAAAATCTTGCTTCCAGACGAACTCGGAAACGTACGCGTGGGGTCCGTCCCGCGGCGTGCAACTCCGCGAGCACGTGTACACCACCAAGGTGCCCCAGTCGATGCTCGCGCTCAGGCTGTCCACGTGCAGCTCGCTCAACAGCTGTGGCATCACCTGCAGGTGTGGTGGCGGCACACGATTTGGTAAACCGTACCACCAGGTGGAGCCCCACGCAGATAAAAATAAATGTCAACATTTGTGCCGTGCAGCTCTGGCGCATTTCGGTTTGTACCGCGCGTTGGAAGCTCCCAGGACATGACCGAACAACAAGCAGTACACCAAAATGTGAAAATCTGCTCGGAAGCGAGCACAAAGTGGTGTGTGAGATGCCGGTGCTTTCCGTCGAATGTGTGGATTTTCCCCAGATGTTCCAATTTCCCCCACATATACAACACTCATTAATGCAATTGAACATCCCAAAGCCGGACCCTGATAGATTCTTGAGACTTGGTGAATAGTTCCTCAATAAGAGCATTATTATTGATAACCATTACAGTATTCCTTTGTTATTCGCAAGCGATACGTTCCGGAGATGCTCGTGAATAGGAACTTTCGTAGGTAATCATATTGGCCTACGAATATCGCACGGGCAACGTCTGCAGTCGAGAAGTTCTATCTCATCACATAATTTAACCTCTTTATTCTCATCACTTTCTCTCGCGATGCAGTTCATAGTTTCATTTATTTGGTATAGCCCTGTGAGCCATTCGGCTCTTGAATCGGGTGCAACCGCAACAAACAAAAACATGAACAAGAAAACATCTTAAAGTGATTGTAACTGTGCAAACAGAAGAAAAAAACATCCAAATATTCCTGAAATAGCAACGTACACCAACGCTGTGTGAAAAAAATCCCAGTGGGATTTAAGTCAAACAACAACAACCACAAGACAACTAAGATTAAGGCTATCAGTCTAACTCCGTACTACAATAAACAAAAACATGGACAAACCAAAAAAACCTTTTCGAAATCACCAAAATAAAAGCCATAAATGCAATGTAACAGTGATCATAGGGACTGTGACCGAATTTTTAACAATAAACTACATAAATAACATGTAACACCAAACCCTAGAGCCATATTTTAGGCCACTGAATAGCAGTGGCAGCTAGGGGTGTACAACTCAAGAGCAGTTGTGTAGAGTTCCTGATGCTATTCGCGGATAGCCAAAATCGTGGATAGCAAGTTCGTGAATAACGAGGGAATACCGTGTTTGACGAGTTGTAAAACAATTTGCGGAGAAGTCTGGCTTCGCGACTATCACGAGCGTTTTCTACCTGGAACTCGAAAGAGCGGGGACTTCCACAGGAGCAGGCTGGGATGTCCGAGGCTGTGGCCACGTGTTCACTTGACACCCACAGGGGCTGTCCTTCCCGGCTGTACCGCAGCACCTGTTTGCACAAATGTCAGTCAGATCTTCACATTGGACCATTAACATGCGGGTCAAGGCGTCCCTGCAAGGGATGTTAAACCTTTCCCGTTCTGATGACGTAGGTGTACGTCGGGAGTTTTTCTTCCGTACACGCATGTCATCAGAATGGAACCGGAAGAAAATAACTTTGTCAGTATGGAAGCTCCTACAAGGCCATGCGGGAGGGCGTGTGGTACAGTTGGGCACCAGCTATCAAAGTGCGGTCATGTCGCTAGTTCTTTGCGGTGAGTACAATCTCTTTAAAAATAACGGTGCTATGCCCCTTTTTAGATAAAAGTAACGCTTAACTGCTTGCGCGATCCAAGATTCAGCAGTGAAAGAGACCCATCCTGGAAAGGAGTAATAAGGAATCAAATGAAAATTAAAATAGATCGTTACGATGCACGCTTATCATGCGACTGCTTATATTGCAGCCCCGTCAACCTTCGTGGATGTTCATTCTCCACTTCGGCCCTTCTAGTTTAGAACTCCCTTCCCCCACAGTCGATCAACAGATCGTGTGTGTTGGGGTAAAAGTGTGGGTGTGCTCCCACCCCTTCCAAGATGCATCCTCGAAACGTCTCACTCACGTGACTCTACCTTTTACTACAGGAGATGGTTTTTTTTCTGGGGCTGGTGCCAACAGTGAATAAGTGAGAGGGGTGAGCCGAACCTGCTTGGGGTCGCGAGCGATCTTCTCCTTGAAGAGGCGGAAGGCGCGGTCATCCACGCTTTCCCTGCGCGCCACGGCCTCCAGCTGCTGCTCGTCCAACTCGCCTGCATCACGTGCAGCAGGGGTAAAACCCTCATAAGGTCAACATGGAAACACCACAGCGATGTACCTGATGTATCATGCTCAATCCTGCTCAGCTGCAGCCATCATAGAGTCTACATTCAACGTGGCAAAAAAAAAACATGATTGTTGGATGGAATTGCGATAATTCATCTGTTTGCAACGGAGGGAAATTGTAAAATGCCTACGACATTGTAACATTGGACCACCACCTGTTGCTGTAAATATTTTTTTCACTAAACTTAAAACGTGCAAAGGACAACCAGGTAGAACCCCAGATTAAGTATACAACTACAAAACAATAGCTATTTGTTTTTGTGTGCGTCTTCCTTATTTTAATCAGGTGTATCGTCAACAACTGGAAAGTCTCACACAGTAAAAAAAAAAGACTTGCCAACGAGATTATTTATCTGGGACAATTAAAAAGCATTTAATCGATTAAAGTCGATGTGTCTAACAAAAACCAGCAGGGACGCACTTTCCGTGGCCGTCTTCAACACGCCTTGGCTTGCTGCGTCCGATGGAGCTTCCTCTTCCTTCTGCTCGTCCTCCACCTCCTCGTCATCATCATCATCATCCTCGGCCTCGGTTAAGATCTCCAACTCGGGAAAGAGGAAGCCGTGGTCGCGTTCGGGCGGCGTCTGCGTAGGCTCGGCCGCGTGGCCGCACTCGTGCTTGTGTCCGGCCTTCCAGTCCATTGCCTGGTGCCGCTTGCCGCAGTAGGCCGCGGTGTGGCACCGCGAGCAGGCCTTGGGGCCCGGGCCCCCGCACACGCGGCACAGACGATGGCTCCATGCTTCCCCTGCCTCCTCGGACTCTGCTGCTGCTGCCGCCACCGCCGCCGCCGCTGTCGTGCCCGAGGGAGGATCGTCCGGGGGCGGATCAAAGGAGTAGAATGGGTTCCTGCGTGGCAGCTGGCAGCGCACCACCCGCAGGCAGCGCGGGTCGTGCAACTCGGCGTAGCACGTGGGGTCACGGCAGCAGAAGAGCAGCAGCGAGCGGTGGAAGCAGTCGTCGCGGTTAGGAAGAGGAGCGTACACCTGTGTGTGTGGGGGGTCCCGAGATGGTGAGGGTTAGCGACGATACCTTGCCCGTAATATGGCCGCCACACTCTCACCGACGCTGTCAATGCAGCACCTGGTGCTGCTATCACTTAAAATAAAGATGGATATGCACAGACCGCCCATTGGGGCATCTCATGATGTGACACAGGTGACCACCATCATAATTCCACCTCGCGACATTACACACGATCATGACGCTTCGTGACATCACACTGGCCACCACCACCATGATGTCCCGTGTCATTCATTGCACTGAGCACCAAAATGGCACCGACATCACGCATGGACCACCACCATGGCGACTGTCACTCACTGACCGCCGTCATGGCGCATGACGTCACAGAGCGATCACCACAATGGTGCATCATGACATCGCGCAGCGACCACTACGATGGCGTATCATGACGTCGTACAGAAATCATGGTGCATCATGCCATGGCGCAGCTACCACCACCATGGCACGTCACGCAGTGGCCACCATGGCGCATCATGACGTCACGCCGTGACCACCACCATAGCGCATCATGACGTCATGCAGCGAGCACCACCATGACACAAAGACAATGTCGTGACCACCATGGCGTATCATGACGCCAGACTACCACCATGGCGCATCATGACGTCACGCCGTGACCAACACGGCGCATCATGTCACGCAGCGGCCACCACCATGGCACATCACGTCAAACTGACGACCAACATGGCGCATGACATCACTCCGCGACCACTACCTTGGCGCATCATGACGTCACTCCGCGAACACCACCTTGGCGCATCATGACGTCACTCCGCAACCATCAATATGGCACATCATGACGCAATGCAAACGACCACCACCATGGCAGCACGCCGGTGACCACCAGCATGGCGCTGCCGCCGCCCACTCCCAGCAGCACCCCCCACAACGCTCATCCCCGCCCGCACCTGCAGCAGGAAGGCGCACGTGTTGGAGCACCGGCCGCACGCGAGCTGCTCGGCGAGGCCCGGCAGCGGGTCGCGGCCGAGCCAGGCGGGGCGGCCTCCCACTTTGCTGGGGAAGTTGGCGGCGCGGAGACGCCACGCGGACGGCGGCCGCGTGGCGAAGCCGAGCTCCACGGGGGCGCCGCGGGTAGCCGACATGGCGCGGGGTGCAGTCGGGGAGGAAGAGGCAGGGGTGGTGGAGGAAGAGGCAGGGGTAGAGGCAGGGGTGGTGGAGGAAGAGGCAGGGGTAGAAGAGGCAGGGGTGGTGGAGGAGGAGGCAGGGGTAGAGGCAGGGGTGGTGGAGGGGGAGGAGGCGGGGAAGAGGGGGCGGCGGGGGAATCGAGGGTCCGCGGTAAAGTGTTCTCGGTGTTTTAACAGAAGCGGAGGAATTCCCCCCATAGCTTTATTTTTATTATTATTTAATAATTATTTTATTGTTTCTCTTCTACGTGACTTTACCGAAAGAACCAAGAATAAGAATAAAAATTCCCCCCATAGCTGTCAAGCCACGCGGTCGGACTCCGTAATTCTTTGCCCAGGAGGGAATTTTGAGTTTTCAGGTCAACTGCGTCCAGCCGTTTCAATGCGGGCACACAAACAGTTGTTTGTGTGCGATGGGACTTTGTATGGGGCACGGGGTGACCAATAAGGTCTGAGTTGGTCTGTAATAAGGTAGGGCACTGATTAGGAGGTTGACAGATATGCATGTTGACCAATAGGATCCCATATAGACCAATAGGGTCCCATGTCCATAGCTGTCAGCCCATCTGGTTTATATTCTTTGGGTCTTCGGCAAAGTCACGTAGATAGGTTCAAATTGATAAAAATAAATAAAAACTACGACGTTTCGATCATTGCACACGAGCGGTCATCATCAAGCGGTGGTCAGCTGATGATGACCACTTGTGTTGCGATCGAAACGTCCGTAGTTTTTTTGTTCATTTTATTTGTATTAACTTGAACCTATCTCCGTGACTTTACAGAAATCCCCAAATAATATGAATTCCCGCAGTCACGAAAGCTTTTAAGTCAAGAACCGTACGGTTTACCCCGATTTCTTGTACAGGGAAATTAAGTTTTAAGGCCAATACGGCGTGCAGCCGTTTTAATACGGGCAACAAATGTCTGTGTTTCTCCCTTGTGATGGGACTTTACAGGATAAACTTTGAGATTTATAAGGGGCACGGCGTGACCAATAAGGTCTCCGATGAGCTATTGAGCTCTTTATTGACAGGCGTTCCAGTAAGGGCGGGGTCAACACGTTCCAACAATACAAAAACACGATAGGAGTGCAAAGGGGACGTCCATAAATGACGTCACGCGATTTTTGACGATTTTTGACCCCTCCCCTTCGTCACACGGCGTCACAAAAAGTCAGACCCCCCCCTCAAATATGACGTCACAAAGCTCTGCCCCCCCCCCCCAAAAAAAAACATGCTTCAAATCTCTTTGAACTATTGTCATTGTAGTGCGTATTTAATGTGGCGCTGCACTCTGATGTTGTAGGAGAAAACATTTATTAAAACGTCTTTATCTAAGTAGAACGTGTTGTCTAAAGATGTTTTATTGTTCGTGTTTTTTTGTTTGTTGTAGTTGCACCCGATTCAAGAGCCGAATGGCTCACAGGGCTATACCAAAATACATAAACTGAAAAACTGAAACTGATTTAAAGTTGCGCATTTTGATGTGACGTCCAATTTCTCAACCCCCCCTTGTCACACATCGTCACAATTGTCTTACTCCCCCTAGGTGCGTGACGTCATTTATGCACGGCCCCAAAGTATAGCGAGGGTAAATATACCACTTTAAAAAATATATATATACAAAATCTTTCCAGGTCAAGCCGTGACTTCGTGTTGACTGTGAGCGGGAAGCGCGATCACCGCTCCCCTGCCGCTCGCGTGCGTGCGAGAATATCCAGAAGCAGGGCCACAAGAAGAGGTTTCTGGGGGGGGGATGGGGGGGTAGGGGGGGGGTCCTCTCTCTCTCTAATTCTGCGCCGTTCGGGAAGTTCCACGACCACGTGCGCCCAGTGACGCGGCAGGAGAGGGGAGCCCCAAGGGACCGCGGTGAAGCGCGTCACGGCGCCGCCACGTGTGTGTGTTCATTATTATTATTAGACGATTATAAGACGACGAGCCTTTTTTGCTCGTCCAAGGACGGGTGTATTGCAGTACATCTGAAACTTGCAAGCGAAAAGCACAGGCCGCGACTTGATATTCATTGCATTAATTCGTGTGCAATTTGTAAGGACGCGGTGGCACAGACTTATTTCATGTAAAGGTTATAATCCCTTGTTCATCATTACATTTTGACTGCAGGTATTGTGGTTAATGCAGACATGAATCCTCGTAAAAAAAGGTTTCAGTTTTGTTGCCCGAAAAAAGGGGAAAAACCCCTATTATTAGGTTTGCGATTATCTGTGCAAACCAAAATTTGTATACCTTTGACATTTAAATCCGGCACGTTGTTTTCAGACCAACCCCCCCCCCCCACCGCGTGAATTCTGTTGTGGCAGAATCTGTCACATTGAATTTCAACCAATTTGGTATCCAACCATAGTATTGTGTACAGCCAATGTCGTCAGATCCACTGCTGGATGGGTGCTGCCTCGCCAAAGCAAGGGGGTTTGAACATACTTCGCCGAGGGCATTGCGGTCTCGTGAGGATCAGGTGAAAATATATGAGCGGGACATTTTTTTTTAAACGAATAGGGCAGTTAATGGGGTCGTGAGCGGCGTTAATTGTATTAAAATATAGGCGACTTTGGTGATAACCTCCGAATTTGATGTGAACTAGAAGGCGCTTAAGTAATGGTTGAAGGGATTTAATAGTCGGCATATAGTGGGTAGGGTTATGTTAACTGCACGACTTGCAGCCTTGTGCTATGAAGCAGGGCCATTGCCTGAAATGTCGCGAACTATATATATTTTGTATTTTAAGGCCACAGTGTTAGTGGTTATTTGTGATTGTGCTCCGCTGCCAACGCAGTAGCAGTAGCAGCATCACCAAACTTTAATGTTAATTAGACAACTGATAGCGGGAAGGGATTAGTTCATTGCAGTGAATGGGGATCCAACAGCAAGTGCGGAGTTACGTTAAATATGCAGGGCGGGGGGTTATGTTGATCGTACGAGGCGTGGTTATGTTAATCGTACGAGGCGTGGTTATGTTAATCGTACGAGGCGTGGTTATGTTAATTATTCGAGGCGTGGTTATGTTAATTTTAGGGCAAGTCTGGTTTGTGTCAATATATACGAGGCGTGTTTATGTTAATTACGGGTGCGGTTATGCAAATTTATGTTGGGCGTGCTCCCCCCCCCCCACCACTGCCGGCTCCGCTCTCCGTGAGAGGCGAAGTGGCCCACGCCGGGTCAGTCGCTCGGCGCGCGCGATCCTCAACAACGCCCTGACCACCAACTTTGCTCCTTGCAACGCGGACAAATCCCACGGGCTACTTTTTTTTTGGGGAGGGGTGGGGGGCAGGGGGCGTGGAAGAGGTTTCCAGGCGGAATGCGCGCCGTAGAGTTTGCGTGGTCAGTGTTTAACGCGCCGTCGGCTGTGGTTCGAGTTGCGTCGTCCGGACGGACGATCATGAAGGAGGAGGGGGGTGAAGGAAATCTCTGAAGGGCTCGCTCAGCGAGAGGACCTCAAGTTTGTGGTTCTATCACCAAACCTGGCCACGCTCTCCGCGTTTGAATCAGGTTGCTGGCGCGTTCCGTCACTTCGACTTTTATAAATTTAAAAAAAAATCGTCATCAATTCATCCTCATTAATTCAGCAGCAGCAGTGCAACTTATCGGCGTTAGTTTGAATAAACGCCCGAGTGTTGACGTCAAACAACGAAGTCATCAGAAACCGGGGGGCATCAATCGACCAACAACTGCAGCAGCTCCTGAAGCAGGGTCAGGACGTGCAGCAGTGTTGATTGTTTATCAGCAGCAAGGGAAGCTTTTAGAGACGTCATTAGTCTCTGGCAAAGACACCCATGCCACCTTACTCCGACTACAAGCTTCTGACCGAAACAGAGGCACCCCCCGTGCCTCCCCGGCGGAGTCGTGGGTCAGCCTCCCGGTCTGCTGCTGCTGCTGGTGCTGTAGCGGGACCAGCAGCAGGACTTCAGCATGGTGAAGCAGGAGGTGGTGGTGGTGGTGGTGGTGGAGGAGGTGGTGCAGGACACCAGGGCATCACGGTGGCAGCAGCCTTGACAAGTCCTGGCGGAGGGGAGAGGCGAGTCAAGTGCGTCCTGGTTGGAGACGGGGCCGTAGGCAAAACCAGCCTGGTCATCAGCTACACCACGAACGGGTACCCAACCGACTACGTGCCCACCGCCTTCGACAACTTCTCCGGTAACAACGGCAGCGTTAAGCGACACTCGTGTGTGGGTCGACACAATCACGGTCGTTTATTTAGACATGGAGGAATCCGATGAGCCGTGAAGCTCTTTTTTTTTCGCAGATGTCCCGGACGGAGCTGGAGTCCGTTACAGCGGTGGCTGTTGCCGTCCTTCCTCGCGATTTGCTATCGCGGTGTAAGAATGGAAAATTCAGCAGACAATGATAACTGCTATAATTGTAGTTATTATTCACCCCATGGGAATGTTTGGGTGGGTCCGAGTCAAGAGTTGGCGTCATGGCATTTTTTTTTCCCTTAACTTATAATCGGGTGTAAAAAAAATTTCGCTGTAAAAATTGCCGTACGGTGTTCCAATTTTCGCCAGTGTTTTTTGGTTTTCTTGCCAAGAATTGGCAAGGAGAAAGGTTGGCTTCCGCCAACATTTGCATCAGATCAGTGCTCTTTCTGTTTGTGTGTTTGTACGTCAACTTGTATGTGCTCCAAACCCAGGAAAAAAAATCAAGGACTCCCGGACAGGGTAAAAAAATACGTGCCAAAAACGGTTGGATCACACTTTTTAGAAAATGTGTTATTTTTTCTTTGAAGTGTGCTTGCCAATGTTACTGTATTTCAGTGACATATGACCCACATTTTAGTGACATGTGTTGGAAGAGAGGATGACTTCGTTACTCACCCTGTGAGTAAGTGTCATCTCGTGTGTAATTGTCACTCGCCCACTCCCCGCTGACCATTCCAGGCATTCAAGTTGGTGAGATCCTGAGTGGGTACCCTTTTACGGACCATCTACCATCTCCCATGGGATGTTGATGGCCATCAGTCGCAGAAAACGCCTCGGTGATTTATTAGGGTGTCTGGGAAACTAGAGTGGTGTTGATGCCTCTCTGCTCTGGTTACTGCGTAGGTGGTTGTGCTGTATGGCTCTCCAATGTCTCTTCGTGTTGTACTGCGTGTCACTCGGCAACGTGTTCAACGTTTCTCTCCGCGCGCCGAAGAATCTCCCAGCACGTGGAGCGAAACGTCGGACATCGTGCCGAACGACCCGCGCGCGACACAACCCAGAAACGCGTCAAAGAGCTGACCTCTGATGTTTTTTGTAACTGTCGTGTGCTGTCGCCCGAAAAGCTGGGCTGCTACCGTAGCACATCGATGGCCGCCGGTGAGATGGGTGTTTTTTTGCGATGCCTCATGTCAGATGTGCAGCAACAAGGGTCAGCGTTTGGTTTCCAAACTTGTGACCCTTGTACTCGAGATGACGGGGGCGGGGGGGGGCGGAAAGCAGTCCCACTGAGCTGACCTGCCAACGGGTCATAACTCCCATTGGCGATCGCGCCCAGTGTTGAATTCAAAGTTTGACACACGAGCCGCTGTCCTGTTATTATTGGCTTGCGAGCGACTCGCCGTCTGCCTAAACTGGCACGACCTCGTGCGTTCAGTCACACCCCCCCCCCCCCCACCGGAGACTGGGGGAGGGAGGGGGGGCAAAAGAGAAAAGAACAACTTTGGAAGACATTGGGTCATAATTCTCATCCTCCAGATACAAAGTACATTGGCTCGATTGTCTCTCTGCTGTTTAAGTATTTTTTGTGTGCCTGCGCTATTTCCACGTATCAAGTTGCACTCTGTTTTTTCCATTTGGTTCACTTGGTAATTTTTCTCCGTCCTGATACCCTTGGCTAGGGCATTCGCCCCTATTGCTCAGTCATGAACAGTTAAGCACATGACGCAGGAAACCATGCCGACGCATCGTGGTTTGCTGCTAATAAGGCAATGAATGGGTGATTGTAGTGTGGCAGTTGCCTTGGTCTTGCTTGCTGAGTCTCCACGCTTGATTGGATTACAGTAATACACTAAACTGGTCACACGGCGCATTCACTCACAGGGTATTCGATGGCGACCTGATTACGGCTCTCCTACAGCGCTGCCGTAAATTCAATAGATTTCTAACTTGATTTATAGCTGACTTTTAACTCTGGGTTAAGCAGTGGTGTTTATAGAAGCAGAATTGTGGTGGGGGCGCCGGTAGGGTTTAGGTGAGAGGGCAGAAAGATGTATTATATGGTACACTATTACGTGGAACTGAAAGAAAATTGTGTGATATTGCCATTCACTTTTATTGGCTTCACGTGGTGTTGGGAATTTGCCAAAAACACATGGCACATCACTTAGCTCAGCACCCCTGGGTTATAACAATTTCCATTGCTTGACTTTTTTTTCTTTTTCAAAAGCAGTCTTAATGTATTGGAAGTGGGAGAAAATTAACACGTGAATCATGCCAAGTCTCATGCAAATGTAACGCAAGGACGTTCCATCCGCAGGTGGGGGGAAACGCAGCGGTTGGGTTTACGTGTGCGTTGGTGGTTTGGCTGGAAAAATCCATTGTGGAAGCATTGCGTATCGTGATTTCCACAACTCGCACACCGCACGCACTTTTGAAATTAAATATTTGTTTTGTATTTTACCAGGTAAGGCCCACTGAGCTATGTAGCTCTTTTTTCAGAAGCGACCTGGCTATCATAAATCCAAATTCCAAATTTACAGCAGGCGTCTGAGTCGGGATCGAACCCACGACTCCCTGTATACCAGGCGAGGGAGATAATACTTTGCCACCGTGGCACCCGAAAACAAAAACGTGTGTAATGGTAACGGCACAAGGAGCCATGGGGAAGTCAGGGCCATACCGTGTGCTCCCTGCTGATTATATTACAAATAAGCGGCAGTGGCACGCGAGTTCACGGAAAGTGACCATGCACTGCCGACGCCACTCGCGTGACTTCATCTCTCCCCGTGCGCGAGTGAGTGACGCGTGACAGAGTGGGCTCCTTCACGCGCGTCGGTGTCAAGAGGGGGGGTCGTCCCGGGAGCCGTGTCGTGCCGCCCTCACCACGATCCGTTCGGGTGACTTAAATTTCGGTGTTTGTGTTCCTGCCTCTGCCCCCATGTGCCCATGCAGCTGTTGTAGCCGTGGACGGGAAGCCGGTCAGACTTCAGCTGTGCGACACTGCAGGCCAGGTGAGTGGTGGAATACTTTGCCCGTGCCTTGCCTCATCTTGGCAACAAACGTTTACAATTGAACGGCACATATCATGGCACCTTGTGTTGTTGTTGCCAGTATCAAAGTACAGTAGGACCACTCTTAATAGGTTTTACCCTTTCTGGGAATAACACAGGTGTTAAGATGTCCAACCACCAAGTAAATAACTTTTGCAAGGAATCAAGTCTGCATTAACCACACGTACTTGTGGTGAACATGCAAACAAACATGCTCTGATAATATATAGCATTGTCTTTAAAACTGATTGGCTTACACCAGAGACAGCTTTCATTATGGCCTTGTCTCACCAGTGTCAGACTAGAGAATGCCAAAATACAAACAGTACAAAGGCATTGCATGTATCAAAGCAGTTATAGCTTGGGTTGAGCAGCTATATCATGGGACCTTTGATAATTATAATAAGAATAATAATCAGGGCTTAATTTCCACCTAGTTTTCCGCGGTCAGCTACCAGGCACATTATTTTTGTGGTATCTCGGTGGCTCCGCGGTGTCCGTGAAGGGCACTTGTCTATAACACAAGAGAAACAAACCATTTGTCTGGCACACACACTGCTGATGATTCCGGAGAAGTCAAAACCGATCCAGAGCATTGGATGACAGACTAACATGGATTATTTTTTGTATCTATATTTATTACGTACATTTATTACAGCACGTACATTTTTCCTTTAAATAACTATTTTCCACGCCTATTGGAGTGAATTGTCGCACGACGTGCATTGTGCTCCACGGTGTTTGTGGATGTTTCTTCGACGGAATACGAAGAACAGCAGCAGCGTTTATCAAACACACACCACAGGCTGCCCGAGCAAGGAGCAGCCACACTTCAGGAAAGTTGCGGGTCTCCTCCAAGCGAATTGATTCCTGGTGGTTCATTTGTTAGGTATTTAATAGAATCCCAGAAGTTAATTTCCCACTTCCTCACCGATAAGGAGGCGTTCCACTGTGAAGCACGATAATTGTATTAAAGCCGGCGCAACTGGCGGCGACCAACTCTGTACTGCGCCTGCTGTTTGTTCGCTACAGAATATTTCAGGGGTCGGCAAGCGTAATAACAAGAAGAGCCATTCTTTTTTCCGAATTCGGTAAAAAAAAAACTCAACATTGCAAGAACCGCAATGCAATGTGAATATTTTAAATGTCTGTCATTAGTGTAATAAACAGCATTTATGTCACCTTACTGAAGGGAGCAAACGTAGAATAAAAAAAAACACCATAACCATTGTCCAGCGTGGTGTGGGTATCTCTTCGCTATATTTAAACACCACGGCGCTTAAGGGGGTGGGGGGGGGGGGTTATTTGGTGGGGGGAGGCTGCACGGCCAGCTGCGACGAGCCTGACCTTGTGACCTCGTGTCGTGGCGCCCGTGCACAGGACGAGTTTGATCGCTTGAGGCCGCTCTGCTACCCGCACACGGACGTCTTCCTCCTCTGCTTCAGCGTCGTCTGCCCGGCGTCCTTTGCCAACGCGGCCGAGGTGTGGGTGCCTGAGATCCGGCGGCACGCGCCTCGTGCCCCCATCCTGCTCGTGGGGACCCAGTGCGACCTCCGCGACCGCGTTCAGGTTAGCAACCGCAGCAGGGGGGCGGGGGGGCGCCAGTGTGCACCGCGATCGTGCCACTGCTTCACGACCGCTGTGCGGGGTGGGGGGGCGGAGAGAGGGAGGTCGCTTCTTTTCTTCTGCTGCTCGCACGGCCGAAAGTCTGGGATAGCCCTTCGTTTTGCATCTGTAGTATTTTTTTTAGACTCTCATTAAAAAAGGCGTGCTGCAGTGGCGCCGTGCTTATCACGCTGGACTTGCAATCCAGAGGTCGCCAGTTCGAGCTGCCGGCGTAGTTTGTTGAAAGAATGGTACAAGTTTCTTAAATCCTCGCACCTCTGTTCGCCCAGCAGTATAAATGGGTACAGCACAGTTAGTGCATCGGCATGCCACTTGTGATGGTGTAAAGTGTGGGTGTCCTCACCTCGTCGAATATGTCTGGCCAGCCTTAAGTAGGCCAAAATATCCAATAGAGCACGGCCCAATGGCGGACCCTGGTGGCCTTTAGTGCGGCCCCTGACAGTACACAACATGTGACAACGCCCCCTTGCAGGCCGCGTGGTGACCCCTCACACTGCTTATGTCCTATCAGTGAAAGTGGCCCCCCTCTGAAAACGAGTAAAAACACTGCTATAGAGGCACCTCTAGTGGAAGCTCTTCCACCAGCAGTAGCATGAGCAAGCAATTGTCCGGCTGCACGTTTACAACTAATTAAAGCTGTAATACAACCCCCGCGTTCCTTTCTGTAATTGATCTGATAAGCTTACATTTACGCGTGCTGTGTATTTTATTTGTGTTTGCCGTGTTATTCTTTCGTGCGTGTGGGGAATTCACCGGCGATGTTTATGTGCGGCTGCCTCGACCCTCGACCGGCGAGCCGCTGGACGGCTCCAAGAGCCGTTCTGGTGAATGTCCGAGCTTCTAGCAGCGAATGATTGAAGCAGACAGCGCAGGCATTCGTAGTTTATTATTCCGAAACCCAGCCTCACAATGCGGAGCTGCCCCGACTACGCAAACCATGGGGCTGTCTTTATACTCCATGGCAAGTGCACTGAAAGACAAACCCGGTGACATGAGTTTGATTCCTGGCCGTGGCTAACATCAGTGGTGGAGTGATATCTGAAACGGTCCTGGATCTCCACTTCCCCCTTCACCAACACTCATTGGACATTGTGATGAAGTGTGGATGGTCAAACAACCGTTAATGTGGGAGGCCTTCATCCAGGAGTGGATTGACAAAGGGGCTGTATAATAGTCATCGCACTTAAACATAAATATCGTGCTTATATATATGCATTGCCAGACTTTACATACTGTATTCAATAATACAGTACTGGCGAAAGTAGTAATAATAATAAACATTAAACAACATAATAGCAGGAATATATTTATAAGTCGTTACCATAAAAGTCAACTGCAAACTACTTCACGAGAAAAAAAAAACACTCCGGTGAACGGCGCTCCGATCGAATAAGTTGACCCGGTTTTTTTTTTGCTCAGAGCTGGGTAAATAATTGACTTCCAACACACATTACCGAAAGAGCTTTGGAAAGAACAACAATCCGCCTGTAATGGGCAACTTGGTTGGGGGTGTGCACCTCACTGCTGCCCAACACAATCCCTTGCTTACCGTACCGGAAAAAAAACGCAGCTGGCCCAGCGAGTAGCGCGCGTTTGCCGCTTGTTACAACAGGTTTGTGGTTCGAGCTCAGCAGCCACCCTGGTTAATACTGAGGGTTGAAATATCCGTAAAAAAAATTATGCACCTTGGGCTTCGCAGCGAACGTCGTATGGATATGTATGTATGTTGAACGTCTTTCGCCACCATACGTAAACCAAGCATGGTAGTCAGAGGTGCGTTAAACAACCCGCTGCCGTTATCCGAAGAAAGAGTAGGCCGCATTACTTAATCGGGAAGCCACATAACAACATCACCCCTCTACTGGCAGACTCATGCCCAGCCTGCCTTCACCTTGTGCATTGCAGGGCCCCCCTGTCGCGGGGTGCCACGATGTAGTGCCACGGGAGGCGAGGTGACGACGGTGTCGGTGACGAACCCCCCCCCGCTCCTGAGCTCACTTCGCTTTCACCGTTCCAGGTGCTCATCGGGCTGGCGAAGCGCGGCGAGAGACCCGTGACGGAAGCGGACGCGCGGCGGCTGGCGGAGCAGACGGGCGCACGGGCCTACCTGGAGTGCTCGGCGCTCACGCAGAAGAATCTGAAGGAGGTGTTCGACGCCGCGATCCTCTCCGCGCTGGGACGCGCGCCCGACGCCGGCGGCCGGAGGCCCAGGCTGCAGTGGCGCGGAGACCCGGGGAGCGACGGCCGCCGCAAGAGAGCGAGGACGCTGGCGCCCGCTTGCCTGCGCAGCCTCTCCAAGGCTTGGTGGAAGAAGTACTCCTGCTTCGGATGATGATGATGATGATGATGGAGGGCTGGGTGCTGCTGCAGCAGCGGCGTCGCGAAGGTCCCGGAGGAAAGTTCCAGCGCAAAACAAAGAAAATAAACTTTCATCGAAATGCCTTTTCGCCTCTTTTTTGACAACACGTTCTTGTTGCACAAGAATTGAATTCGGTCTAAGGTGACGTGATGGTGAGGCGATGCGCGTTTAATTTAAGCGTTCAGGTTTTATAATTGCGTTGAAGCGAGCGCTAAACGTATGGAAGGGTATTGTAAAAAAATGTTAAATTGCTGTTTTAGTGTTGAGAGGTTTTTCTCGGCTTTACCTGTCAAGGGTCATCACTGGTTGGTGGCCAAACGGGGAGGTTGAAGAAGTGATCTTTCCACAGTGTAAAAAGCCTTATGAAAACAATGAATATATGTGTATATACAGTATATTGTATATGGAATGTCGGTGTTCAATCGTCCGACTTGTGGTGACTTCACTAATTGACTCGATGAGAGAGAACAGACTGGTGTTTCTGTAACCCTCTTCATTAAGCTCGTTTAACTTTAGCAAATGGGAAACGAAACGTACAATTTACACGAAATACTTAATCCCGACCTGTTGTTTTTGTTGTTTAAACTGCAATATTACCTGCAATAATATTCAAGACACTGCTTTTGCAGGCGAAACATATTTAACTTTATTTTGTCGCTAACACATGCGCGTGTATTTGAAAATGCTTTATCAGTAGTTTACACGCGATAGCGAGACTCGCGTGAAGAAAGCTAATGCAAGTCGACTAAAATAACGACCTGTGTCTTGTGCTAAGACACGCACCTATGTTATCATTATGCCTCATTATACCTGCCACTTACTCCTACAGTGTTACGACTTTCTGTACGGCCTTGCGCATGTGCCTGTGTTTTTTTATTATTTCCCCCCTCCCGTTGCTGATTTCTGGATGTGGGAACAAACCTTTCGACGGACTGTGAAATCTCTGCACTTTCATTCCTCGGGGGGGGGGGGGGGGGGGGGTATGGAGGAGGAGGCGTTCATCCCCTTTTCGCTAATTTAGCTTTTGATTTTGACGTCGCCTCCAAGTTAACGCTTCCTTTAATGAAGCTGGACACGAAACGGTAACACTGCACCATGCACACACACACACACTGCACCGTACACACACACACTGCACCGTGCACACACACACACACTGCACCGTGCACACACACACTACACCTTGCACAAACACACATTGATCCACTCTTCACCCACGTGCCCCCTCACCCCGCCGTGTGCATGGTTCTATCAACCTGCGTCATTTCAGGGTGTGGGCCGGGGCGGATTTTAACATATTGCTCAACATTGCCGATGTTCATACGTACGTTGATTATCATTGAATAAATCTGTAAAAGAATTTAGCTTTGTTAAAAACTTCCAAATGAAATGCTGCTCTCTTTCGTGTTTTAAAATTGTCACAAACCGAAACAAAAACGGGCGCTTTCATTCAACGGGGAGCGAGTGTGGCTGCCGCCTGATGATGCCGGTTGTAATTACTGGCGAAACGTCGTACTCTGATTGTAAAATGTCGTGGAATTGCTCTCCAACACACGGGTGTGGTGTACTGGTAACGAATTGGCACGTTCTGTTTACGTGACAAACCTTACTCATTGGCTGTGTCGGGTGGTGGCGGGACGTAACGACACACCTACATTTACGCGATCTAACCCAATAATAAAAATCTGTATAATGGATATTGGTCGCGAAAGCCTTCGAGTTAAGCAGAGAGAGAGAGAAATAAAGTCGCTGCTAAATTCCAAGTTCACGGAGAGACATGATCATTTATCTTCCTCGTCGTTCCACGGGCCCATTGTTATTTGTTCTCCAGATGCCCCATCGCCTCCACCCCCACCCCCTGTCTCCACTGCAATGGAAGTCCCTGCTGCAGTTTTCTTGCATCTCCGAGATATTTCCATTGTGACTCAAATTTTCACGCCTGTCGTATCGCGTACTTTACCGTCTGGAATTGGCGGTGGGAGTGGGGGAATGGGGCAATGAGTTGTGGCAGAGTTTGTGTGTACGCTGTGTGTGTGTGTGTGTACGCTGCACACCCCCTGCCGATATGGCCACAGTGCGGCTGTTTGCGACTTTTAACACAATGCATCATCATTTCGTTCGGGTCGGGTGCTCCCGCAAGTGCAAGCCGTCTTAAAGGAAATGAAATCGCTCTGGTTTATGCCACACTCGAGGGCTCTTTCTCTCTCAATCTGGAGGTTTCGTATTGCTGAGATGTTTTTTGTGAGTGTGTGGAGAAAGGCAGAGGGAGGGTTTTTTGCCTCGGGAGCTTTCATTTCCACAAGTTTTTTTTTTCCACTTAAGCGGCCTGAACTTTATGACCCATGATGATGTCATGGGAATAGAATTCGGATAAATGCTGATTGATTCACAGGGGGTCCTTTCTTCAGCTGCTGCTCATTCAGTGGCTAATGCATGGGTGTCCTTTTGAGTTGCCTGCTTGCTCAGTACCCTACTTATTTTCCATATTTCGTGTGTAGATTTTTGCTTTCTTTAAAATGATATTCCAAGTATTGGGCACCAATCCTTAGTTTGGCAGAAGCTTTCCGTACAGTAGTTACGGTATGTGGCCCTGATTCAAACCAATTAAAATCTAGTTTTAAGTAAACAGCCCCGATGCAAGTGCAGCTTCTTGCAGGTGTGACAAATTGGATGAATAATTTTGGGATATTGTAATCCATTGGCGGTGCAGCGCTTGGGATTGGCTCATTTGCTGCACGTTTGTGTCTGCTGGCTCATTCCGTCGGCTCAGCAGGAAGCTGCCACTAAAAAAAAACCACCCGAGTACTGGCTTCTTGACTCAACGCCCGCACACACGCACACTACACAAGCAGCACAACGACGTCCCTTACAAGAAGCTCAGCAGCAAGCACTCCTCCACAGCTTACCACGCCTGTGGGCCCGACAGCAGCGGCAAAAGCGAGAGCAAGGAACCAGGGCCAGGTTAATAATGATCCCCCTCTGCGGGTTGCTGCCTGCCTGCTTTGTTCCGAAGGATGAGCGGGCTGGGCGGAGGAGTATGGAAAGGAGGTGGGTGGGTGTTGTTTTGGAAGGAAAAGTGGAACACTTACAGAGTTTCTTTACCGCTAGCCGCATTTGGCCGATACCCAACACAAATCACTCCCAAACTCATGTGTTTTCCTCTCCCTCTTTCTCCCCCAAAACATAAAAAAACACACTCTCCTTATCTCCTCTGTTCTTTTTCGTGCAATTTCCATTCTCTCAACTTTCTGTTTGAACTGTTTTTCCCATTCTCTCTCAGCTCTAATCTGTTTGACAGGGGGGAAGAGGAGGGGGGGCGGACAGAGTTAGCGGTGGCGTTCTGGTTATCAGTTATCGCTCTTGATCATGCCGTGTTGCTCAAACAAAATGACTTTGCGCGAGATCTTTCAGAGTCATTCTCCCTCTCTCTCTCATCCTGACTTGCCTCTGTTTCGGAGATCAAGGCGTTTTAGCCGGAGATCAGTGGCAGAAGATTGCCGTTCCTCTATAGTTCGTTAGTGCACGCGAACACACACACACACAACAAAAACACAGTGGCCCCTATTATGCTCAAGTGGTACGGGTTACGTTGGGAAAACGCTTACCTCACAGTGAATCCAGCAGCTATTAACATCTAAAAACCCAGGGAGGGGGGGGGGCTCGCTTTCTGAAAATAAGGGGGGCTCAGAGGTTTTAATGAAGCTGTTGAAAAGGCTAAAAGGGAAGCGATCCGTTTCTGTTGTGTTTTCGTGCGGTGTCTGTGGCCAATGCTCTTGGTGATTCACAAATACTGTCGTGACTGAAGTGCTCTACTATGATGGGGGGGGGAACCCAAACATGGGAAAATCCGAAATCTAACGTAATCGCCCTCTGAAGCTAAAAATAAGAACAGTCCATCTGAATCATGCACTGTGCAGGCTGGCTATGTAGAAAAACACACGCACGCACGGTTTGTTTATGATACGTTGCTAATGAGTTTACTGATAATCATTCAAACTTCCCCTTCCAGCAGCAGTTACTTTTGTTGTTTTTCCTGTGTGGTCCAACTTCTCAAACAGAACTAACTGTGGCCTCTTTCACTTTGACCAGACGTGTGTGTACAATGTGGAAAACTTTACATTAAACGTTCTCACTTTTTTTTTTAGGAAAAGGATGGGGGAATGTATTTATTTTATTTTAAAACGATCGTGAGTCATGTGCGTTGACCGTGAGAATACATCAAGACCGTAATTATAATATATATTGGGGGGGGACACATATGCTCAAAATGTCCCCCCCAATATGTTGCTATAAAATGGATTTCTGTTTATATGATTGTGGTTATGGTTGTACTTTATTAATCCCTAATCTCTGCCATTACATACAATGAAACAAGAAAAGGTAAAAAAGAAAAACCAGAGCAATGTAATACAATACACTATTAGACATTATTGTTAAAAAGTCCATCCTATGTGTTGGTGAATTTTTAAATATTTTAGGCAGGAAATGGCAGGAAATTAGTTTTAAAATGTAGGTTTTTTTCTGTGGGGGGACCCCCAGGCCCCCTGGGAGGTTTAGACCCCCCCCCCCCTAATGTTGACTCCATGGCTACGGCCTTGGAATACACACCTGTCAATCAGTGCCCTACCTTATTACAGACCAATTCAGACCTTATTGGTCACCCCGTGCCCTTATACATCTCCACGTTCATCCAACAAAGTTCCATCACAAGGGCCAAACACAAACAAATAGACACAAAACTATATTTTTTTACTCAATTTCCCTGTGCAAGATTACGGGTAACCCGTATGGGTTGACGAGCATGAGAATGTGTTAATTTCAGTCATGGCCAAGACTTGTTGTGACTTTGGGCGAGCGTGAAATTACATCTGTCAACAACGCATAACGTGCTCGCGTGTACACAAATCCCGTTGGCGCGGATTCGTTTTTTTGTTTGTTTATAACGACGAGGAGCAGCCGACCGATCTCGTGCTAGTTGAGTCATCTGCAAGTCCTTCTGCGGCCCTCCAGCCTAGCTCTCAGCTATCTGCCGTATGTGCCCTGTTCTACTCAGCCAGGTCAGCAGTAGAGCGAGCAAGTGTACTGCAGACACGTAGGAAGGTTGTGAGTTCAAATCCCGTTTGGGGGTTGTTGACTCAGCCCATCATCTTTAGGGGGTCGATCAAATTTAGACTATATTGTGTAGGGAAGTCAACTGGTTGTTCCTCGAACTCAATGCTCTCTTTGAGCAGGTAGTCACTTCGAATTTGATTTACATTACTCAACTTTGCATCACATTACTCAATTTTGCGTCATTAACCGCTCACGACTATGAGTGTATGTCTGTTACTTTTGATTTTACCATCTTCAATGCGTTCGTAATTCCCATGACAACGGGAGAGGCAAAAATAGCACAACGATGAGCAATGCGCCCAAAAAAATCTACGAAACTAAATTCCCCTTTATAAAATTCAAATTAGTTTTTTTCATAGAGAAGGCGTGACCTGATTTGGGGGACAACCCGAAACGTTCCATGCTTTGTCCGTGAGCTTTTCTGTTTCAGACACTTTAAGACAGATGGTCGAATTTGAATTTTTTTGTTCGTCAAAATCATACTTGTAATTATTTATTTGAAAGACATTAATTTTCATCGTCGTCGTCATCATCATCATCAAACTATTACTGATGTATTTTGAAAAAATAACGTGCCAATCATTCCACTTTCACCTCAAAAAACCATAACTAGCATGAGACAAAAGGCACCATCAAAGTTTGTTGATGCATCGTTACGTGAGCCTGCAAATGCCCCTAATATATCAGGAAACGCTTCATTTATCACCATCATCATTGATTAAAACGACAAATGCCACATGTATCTACTTTCCAGGAAAATCCCTACGCTGAGCACGTCTTTTTTTTAGCACAGTGTAAGTTGTCGTTCTCTTTAGAAATGTACAATAATAATCATCATACGGCCGGTGGACATATTAACTCATCCCCCTTCTCTAAGCATCAGTGATTCAATGAATTGTTGTCATTCAGGGTCACAATTTCGATTCGATAATCAATGCTTTTTTTGATAACACTTTGGCGGCTGCAGGTTTCACCCTATTACGATGAGACGATTATGAAAACATCAACTATGGATTGAACGAGTGATTCAATGCGTGTATCGTGAGTTTAAGATTCAATCGATGTCGCGAATGACGAACAGATGCGGAGTTTCTGCCACGAGCAAACAGAACGCCTGCAGGACGTCAGCCCTTTATGCATAGAATAACAGTGCCATTAAAATGCTTAATTTAAAATCAGGTGAAAAAACCCTTGGGCCACATTGAGGGCAGGAGATTCAACAGAGGGCAGTGCCGCATTAACCACCGTTGTGCTGTACTTTGCCTGCGCATCTATGTG